CGTGCAGTCGCTTTTTAAGCCAAGATTCTGGAGAATTTGAACACACTCTCGTCCCATGACAGAACGAAAGGTGGCAAGACGAATTTTTTCGCTTCTCTTATCGAGACCAGTCGCTATTTCGTAATCCCTCCATTGCTGAAGAAAAAACTCCCAGTTACCGACTTGATCCCCTCGACACATCATCGGAGTTGGTACTGGAAAATTTGACGGTACGCTAATTTGCGGGTCGTTGGTTTCTGGCATGTTTGTCGTTGATTCACTCCTCCACGCACGTGGTCGTTGTTATTAGACTATTTCCAAGATATTGTTGATTCTGTGCGATCCTTCGATTCACTTCGAGCTTTGTTGTCTGTTTTCCGGATCTGTTTGTTGACGTTCCTGGTTGTTCGTTGTTGTTTTAGCCTAAACTACTGTGTTTCTGACACCATGTTTCGTCGTGTGCTTGCTCGTTTATTAGAACAACTAATCACAACGTCTGATTTACATAACATCACGTGACTATAAAACTACATTACGTAACACTTTCAATAAATAAAGAACATAAGTGAACAGGCCGGTGAACGATTTCAGGTTCCGTCTCTTCATGGTCTCTTTGTAAACRGCGACCCTTTTCTGARTTGTCGCTGAGTTTTTGAGATAATTCTTTGTGATATTCAAACTTGATTGTTAAATCAGTAAACTACCTTGATTGTCAAACGGTGTCAAAGTGATATTTTTTTGTATTAAAAAAAACATTTTAGACTGTGTTTCAGTAATAGAAAAGTAAAATAAACACAACCCACAGGTAACCCAGGCTCAATAACTTAGTATAAAATATGTCGTTCGCACAATTTTTTTTTTGCCTAAATAATATTATTTAACATAAATAAAACGTCTCTTACCTTCCTGGTTGAAAATCTTTCGTTTTCAAGAGGTTTGACGCCATTTTTGATATGCCATTGTTTAACCTACTTATATTAATACAAGGTCGGAAACTGCACGCAAAGATTTCCAACAGTAACCCTACTTACACTCGATTTTTTTGTCAAAATGCATACTTTTGTCCACATTTAACTGCTCCACAATAAACATGAATGTCCAAGGATTCTTTTGAAGCTCTTCGTCAATGAATTGCTTTTCGGGAAGTTATTTTTATCGG